GGAGAGCAAACGAGGGGCCACCCCTTCAGCATCGTCGCTCGAGTCATCCGATTTCGGGTGCCTCGACGGCCGCACAGGCTTCCTGGGTTGCGACGTTTTGCGAACCCGAGCTTTGGATTTGGATTCCACACCGGCTTCACCAGGCGTACCAGCAGCTGCATCCAAGGCGAGCCGAGCGTCCTGCACAGCTTTTCTTCGAGCCTGCTTCTTAGGCGCGGCTCGCTTCGGCGACGATTCCGCTGTGCGTTTTCCCCTCCCCTTCAAAGTAAGCTCCGCGGAAACATCGACATCCTGTCCTTCGTCTTTCATTTCCTCGTCTTCCATTTCCTCATCTTCCATCTCCGAACCACCCACATTACCACCGAGCACCCCGCCGCTTGCCGCTGCCTTTTCGCAATCCATGTGGTCCTGCCCACCACCACATTCTCCTTCATTCTCATCGTCTTCTCCATCGCCCCTCGCCCGGGCTTCGTCGCCTCTACTATCCTCCCGCTCTACATTCACATCGCAAGAGCCTTCGCCCTGGGTGAACCTTCGCGTGGCTAGTGACTGGGATTGCAATCGGCGAATCCGTTCATCGTCCTCCGTCTTCTCGCTTGACTCCTCGTCCATTCGACGTTGGGAGGTGTCCTGCGAGCGCGAGCTTCTACCGGCACGCGAGCTTCCCGGAAGACTGGAAGGTGGTTTGTCGAGCACCTTCTTCTTCGGAACGTTTCCCGATGACCCACCGCTCGGACGCCTCTGGTAAGTAACGAGTTTCTCCTTCGCGGACACCGATTGTTGCGGAGTCGAGACATCCTGCCGCCGATCGCTAGAGCAMGCTGACAAGCCTGCGAGACTTTCTCCTGGAGMGTCGAACGGCACAAGAGGCAACGAGAGCTGGTAACCAGCGGAGACCGTCGGGTATTGACCACTTCTCCTATACCCATTGGTCTTGGTGAGGAATTCAATGGATAAGAGCGTCCTCGAAGCATTCCCGTCCCGCTTGCTGCTGAAGGCTTTCATACCGAATGCCTTCTGACCATACCCCTTGAACAGAGCAATGTCAAGGCTGACCTTGTGGTCAGTCTTGACCCAGTTCGTACCCTGCTCATCGTACACCGGAGTGAGGAAGAATTTCCTCAAATCTCGGTCGTCGACCTTACCCTTGTCCGCCGTGGCCTTGTCAACTTCAGACCTGATGATGCCGCCACAACAATACCAGGTCGTCCCTTCGACCTCCGTCAAGAATACAACAGCACCGCACCCGGGCTCGCCGGGCACTCCGACCCAGTCGACAGCCCACAGTTTGTCGCGGTACAGTTTTGACCTGTTGTTGTACCTCTTATCCGCATCTTCACGACACCTACGACCTTTCGCTGGAGGAGATATCAAAAAGAAAAAGAACGAGGAATGCATCAATGACACCTATCTCTATCTCCCACATCACGAGATGGAAAAAACCAAAATACAAAAGCAATTCCACGCCACATGCCGACGGCAGACCTATCTCTACCTCACACTATGGGCAACAACCGCATGTGTCGCCCCTGGGAATCGCGGGGTTCCTGCGTTTGCCAAACGCAGGACCCCCGGCTGCCGACCG